CTGCCTAGTATCCTAGAGGAGGTAGCTGATGGAAATATTTCTTCAATTATTGTCCAAGAGAAACATGTGTTGGAAACTAATCAGGGAGAAATTGATAATACTAAAAGAAGTTAACTTGATATCAACCCCCACAAATCCCCACAAAGTTGATAATCCTATAGTGGAGTTATTAGCTGAAGTGCTAACTGAAGAATGGCTAGTGCAAAGAAACAACAAGAAAAAGAAAGGGAAGATGGAACAGAAGCTGATGCAAAATTTGGAAGGATCTATTCAGCCTATGGATTCATCTCAAAGAACCAGAAGGAAAGGGAGAACCATTTCAAAATGATCAATTTCTTATGTTGGAATATTAGGGGTGATGCTCACCCCAACTCTTTCACAAGACTGTTAAATCTTGTGAAAGATCATAAAATTTGGTGTTTTGCTATTTTGGAACCTATGGTTAGTAAGAATTATACTAATATTATCAGGAAATTTTCCAAGTTTGCTCACTTTGCTAATTTTAATAATAAAATTTGGCTTTTTGCTAGATCTGAGTTGCAGTGGACTGTTTTGCTGGACAGTCTCCAATATTTACATATTCAATTCACAGTGGGAGCTTAGGTGGGGCATGCCACTTTTATATATGCCAGTAGACTTTTAAGTAAACAGTAGCAGCTTTGGATGGAGCTTTTGAATATTAGTCAATCTATAAACTCCTTTTGGATAGTTGGGGAAGACTTCAATTGTATTACTTCTCCTATTGAAAAGAGAGGTGGGAGGCCTCCTTTACAATCTACTATGAATAAATTAAATGATTTTCTTATGGAAGCTCAGCTATTTCATTTGGGTTTCCATGGACCTAAGTATACATGAAGAAGGGGTGCTTTATGGGAAAGACTTGATAGAATGTTGGGGAATTTCGAGTGGCTTCAAACATTTCCATATACAATTATTAATCACCTTGCAATGGCTGGGTCTGACCACAGACCTTTACTTTGTTGCATTCAGAATGCTGTGAAGTCTTGTGGATCTCCCTACAGGTTTCAAAATATGTGGACTCTTCATCCAGAATTCATCAAGGAAGTGTTAAAAGCTTCGCTGGATAGTGAAGATAAAGGACCTTGGTAGAATTTGTGGAAGTTACAAAAGAAGGTGGCTAATCACTTAAAGAATTGGAACTAGAATACATTTGGGAATGTGCATGAGAATTTAAAAGCTGCTCAGAGCCATGTGCTCAGTACTGAGGAGGATTTGCAAAAGGGCATAAAATCTGAAAGAGATCTACATAGAGAAAATGAAGAACTTCTTACACACATCAATTTTAATGAAGTCTTTTTAAAACAGAAGGCAGCTATTGCCAAATTCATTGAGGGAGACATAAATTCTAGTTTTTATCATGCTTGCATACAATTCAGAAGGAAATGCAATATGATACTTGATATCAAGAACTCTAAAGGGATTATATTAACTGAGAATGAAGACATTGCTCAAAATGCTGTCTGGTACTTTCAGCAGCTTTTCAATTCTCAACCTTCAACCAGAACCAATATTGATGCTAATTTGTTTGCTAATTTTATGGACTATGTTAGTAGTATGCAACTTGACCAAATCCTCTCTGAATTAGAAATTTGAGCAGCTCTTGAATCCATTGATGATCAAAAAACAACTGGGCCAGATGGTTTCACTGCTAAGTTTTATAAAATATCTTGGACTGTGACTAAGGAAAACTTTATTTCTGTTGTTCAAGAGTTTTTCAGAGGTACTGATCCCCCTAGATATTTTAGTTCCTCTACAATTACTTTAAAGAACCAGATCAGAAAAAATTGGGGAGATTTCAGGCCCATTAGTTTGACTAATGTTATTACCAAGGTAATTAGCAAGGTGTTGGTTTCCAGAATTCAGCCTCATCTGCAACAGATAATATGCTTAAATCAAACAGCCTTTGTTAAAGGGAGATCCATAACTGAAAACGTATTACTAGCACAAGAAATGCTGTTAGATTTGGATAGGAAATGTAGGCGAGGCAATGTTGTCTACAAGTTGGACATCAAGAAGGCTTTTGACTCAATTAATTGGAATTTCATCTTGGAAACTCTGGCTGTTAGAGGTTTTTCAGAGGGTTTCATATTGCTTATTAAAAGATGGCTTTCTTGCAATAATCACTCAGTGCATATCAATGGTAACTGTCATGGCTTCTTTTCTGCATTAAGAGGGATTAAACAAGGGGACCCTTTGTCTCCTACAATTTTTATTTTGGTTATGGATTATTTATCCAAGCTTTTGTATCAAATGTTCTTAAACTCTTCCCACTTATCTTTTCAGCACAGATCTAATGTTGATGATGATGTGATTATCTTTTATAATGCCACTAAGAAAGCCACAAAAATTTTGTATAAGGGCCTCAAACATTTCCAGCTCACCTCAGGTATGGAGCTAAATAATTAAAAATGCCAAATTTTTGCTAGCTCTAACATTTCTCCACATATAAGAAATTGGATGTCAAGTTATACTGAATTTAGCCTGTCCTCTTTACCTATCAAATATCTGAGAGTTCAACTAATCAAGAGCAGAACTAAGCAAATACATTTCAATGAAGTTATTGACCAGATTAAAAATCAGCTTCGCTACTAGACTAATTCTTTTCTATCTAATGGTGGGAGAATCATTTTGCTCAAGAGTATTCACACTTCTCTTCCCTCATATGCTCTCCAAATGTTTGTTATGAAGAAAGGCACTCAACACTTACTGGGGAGAATCTTCAATAAGTTCTTATGGGTAAGATAGAAAAAGCAAGTCCACTGGCTTCCTTGGCAGCAAGTATGCAAAGCGTACTCAGCTGTATGTTTGGGATTTAAAGACTTTCAACACCTTAGTTTCATTAATTTATGTAAACTTTGGATTAAATTCAGAGCACAAGATAGTCTATGGGCTATTTTCATGAAAGGGAAATACTGTAGAAATGCACACCCAAATCCAGTTTATAAAAAGTAGGGAGATTCTACAACTTGGGGCAAAATTCTGGAAGTAAGATAGCAAGCTGAAGAGACTTTCATATGGGAATTGGGAGAGGGACAAATAAATTTCTGGTTAGACAGGTGGACTTAGAATGGAGAGAAAATTAAATGCTCTAACTCTAACCCAAATGTTGAGGACCTGGTTAAAGATTATTGGACAGAAAATCAGTGGAATTCCAAATTGATTCACACCATTCTGAACAATGATCATATACAAATAGCTAAACAAACACCTTTCTTTCCAGGACAAAGAGATAAACTCATTGCAAAAAAAGCTCCTTCTCAGAAAGTTTCTGCATATATTTATCAAACATTCTATCAATGGACTTTTGTCTAATGGGGAATTGAAATATGGGGGAAATTTCTCACTTCCTTTATGTCATTTTTTAGCTGGAGACTTTGGCAGTCTTTACTCCCTACTGATGATATCCTGAAAATGAAAGGGCTTAGAGGCCCTTCTTGTAGTTATCTATGTCAAAAGGAGGAGGAGACTCTTGATCACCTTTTCTTTAAATGTAGCTTCTCTCAACAAGTCTGGAATGATTTTTTGACAAAGCTAAGAATTGATACACTCAATCTCTGTTGGAACACTTTCTCGAAAGAGTGGCAGCAGATTAAGTTACTGGTAATCCCGTGTATAGTTTTTTGGTTCATATGGATGTGTAAGAATCAAGGTAAATATGAGGACTCCTTACCTCTATATAAAATTGTTACTGCTCATTGTACTTCTTACTTACAAAAAAAAATCAAACATCATAAATTCCTTAATCTCTTTAGGTACTGGGCACCTCAGAGTCAAAACCAATCTAGTTACAAGCTCTCTTTGATTGTGTGATCTCCTCCTCCTGTGGGTTGGATGAAGGTCAACACTGATGGTAGTTTTTTAAAGGGAAATGTTGGGTTTGGGGGAGTTTTCAGAAACTCTCTAGAGCAGTATGTTCTTCTTTTCCTCACCAACCTGGGCATTGGATGCTTTAGAAGCTGAATTGATTGCAATTTTTTGGGCTATTATGATTGCAATTCAATGTTAAATTGGGCCTTTAATTGTGGAGGCTGACTCTAGTATTTGCATTAAGATTTTGCAAAATGAAGTGGACCCTCCTTGGTACATAGGAAGATGGATGAGTAAAATGAGGACTGCATTGGAAAGATGTAGAGTGGTATTTCAACATATTAACAGAAAAGGCAATGGACCTGCTCATCATTTGGCTACCATTGGCAGAAGCTCAGAACAAGTCACTGTAGATGCTACCCCACCTTCACCTCTTGCTCTAGCTTTTCTCCTTCATGGGGATAAGTTAAACCTCCCCCACTTCTCCACCTTGTGAGGGTATATATATATATACCTTTCTATATATAGATACCTTTCTTTTGCTATCCTTTGTGGGACTTTTGTACTTAGATTATGGTTTAATAGATTACTATCAGATGCTACTTTCTTTTGAAAGGAACAACAAAGATCAACTTAATTTGAGGAACAGGACCAGGGCAAGTATTTTAAAGGATATCTAGAATAATTTGTACAGCTGGGACACCTGTCAGTCGAATGTTTCCTCTTGCCAAAGACACCTTACCCCTTTCATGTTGTTTTTTTCTTGGAGAGCTCTTAATAATTTACTTTCTACTGATGATATCCTGAAACTAAAAGACCTGAAAGGGCCTTCTAGATGCCACATATGTATGCTTGACTAGGATTCCAGTGATCACTTATTTTTCAGGTGCAAATTTGCTAAGGAGGTTTGGTATAGATTGACCTCCCAAATGAATATTAATCTGATAAATATTGGTTGGGATAACATTATAGATTGTATTAAGGATTGGCAAGAGATTAACTTCATGCCAATCCCCTTCATCGTTGCTTGGTTCATCTGGATGGCTAGGAACATGGCCAAACATGAGGAGAGGGAGGCCAGCACAACAAGGGTGATGATTAATTGCTTGTCTTATCTAAATAAGCTGACAAGTTAGAGGAAGTTCCCTAAGATCCTGTAGGCCATACCCTCCATGGTTGCTAATAATATTAAGATCATCAAGGTTAGATGGGAGAGACCTCCTTACCCATTCATTAAAATCAATACAGACGAAAGCTACACAAATAAGAGAGCAGGTATTGGGGGAATTTTTAGAGATCACACAGGGCATACCTTGCTTTTCTATAAGGCCCCTTATATTGCTGAAGATGCCTTGGACACTGAAGCTGCTGCCCTATATTGGGCATTAAAATTTGCTAAGGAGAATAAGTGGAAGTGGATTGTTGCTAAAGTGGACTCCTCCCTACTGGTGGAGCTACTGAACATTAAGATGTCTTCCCCTTGGCATATTAATTAATGGATTCACAAGATTAAAAATATTAGCCTTGACAGTAAGATTCATTTCTCTTTTGTGTATAGGGAAGCTAACATACCTGCAAACTTCCTGGCTATGGAGGGTGCAAATGCTGAGCATGTTGAGGTCTCCACAATCCTCTCCCCCCCCTCTCCACCTATTAACTCAGGGGGACAAACTCCAAATTCCTTACCTAAAAGTGAAAAAATGAATGTTGGGAACATTGTTTTATGGCCATGATTAGGGATGGTCTTCCATTGTGGCTGTGCTACTTGTTACTTAGATGTTTTGTCTTGTTTGGGGGTTTACTTGTATTTTCTGCTTTCTTCAGTTTGTTTTGTTGGAGAATATATATATGTGCATGTATATATATTCCCCTTTTGCTGCCGTGAGTGTCTGTTTCTGTAGTTGGGATACCCCTTATGAGTGAGTAACTTTGTATTTTATTTTCTAGTTTGGGGACCTTCCCAACCAACCTTTTTTGTAACTTCACTTCTTATCAACATGTAGGGAGCCGACTCATGCTCCTTCTATATATAATATATATATATATATATATATATATATGACAAAAAGTGGGTGATTCTTTTCAAGTAAAATTCGAATACAAATTCTAAGGTAAGGGACATTTAAAAGGTCCCCCACCCAAAAGAGAAGCAAGATAAGAAGAAGGGGTTTTTGACACCATAGTTGAGTTACAAGCATTCCCAAACTTGGCCAACTAGTTGGCAAGGCAGTTTCCCTCCCTATAAATGAAAGTAAAGTGGATGGAGGAAGGGGTCCTCAGAGTCTTGATTTTCTTAAGCCAATGAGCAATATGACAAGTGTAAGTGTCTTCCACAGTGAGAGCCCTCAGTAGTAAGTTTGAATCTATTTCCACCTGTAGAGCCTCCCAATTGTTAAGGGTAGCTAATTTAATAGACCAAAAGACAATAACCACCTCAGCTTAAAGGGGGTCCTAGATAGAGATGGAAAAGTAGAAAAAAAAGAGACACCTACGAGCATGGTTTCTGAAAACACCCCCTATATCAGCAACTTGATCAGAAAAGTTTCCATCAGTATTAACCTTAATATAAGGATGAGTTAGTCTCACCCACATCAATTGTGGAACCTTAAGTTTGGTGGTGCCACCCTGCCAAGATGTGTTACAGATATTTTTAGAAAATTAAGTAATAAGTTTTAACTTTAGAGGGGGATAGTGGAATTCAAAATTATTTAAGGACTTCTCTAGATATAGTAATCCTCACATAAAAAAAAATAATAATAATAAATGGATCAAAAAGATCCCAAAAAAAGAGAAAAAAAGCTGCAAAAAAAAAGAAAAAAAAAGGGTGAGGAGAAGCTTGAGGAGAGGTCCTAATCAAAAATTGATTTCAACTGAGTCTTTCTAGAGTAAAGAACTTTAAACAATCCTAAGCTTGCTTTTTATACTTATATTAGTAAAAATTATTTTTAAGAGAGTTTTGTGCTACACTACCGCTGCAATTGTTGTACCAGTGGTGAAGGAGTTTTATGCAAATTTACATGGAATTACCCAAGGAGTTATCTTCGTACGAGGTAAGGAGTTTATAGAATCCGAAGTTTGAAAAATTTGCATATATTTCTGAATTAGATAGGAAAACAAATTCCCAAGTTTGATGATAAATATTTTAGACCCTGGGCTAGTCTGAACTATCACATTTTTAGAACAAACTTTTAGCAATTCTAAAGGATGACCCATTAACTCTAATCTACATAAATAAAAATGTTGCATTACTTGAGGAAAAGTAATGTTTAAGTTTGAGGGATTTTGATATGCCTAAAAATGTACAATTTTTCATGTTATATTTTATGATAATATTGCACTTTAAAGGTATGTTTTCTTGTGTTTTTGGTTTTAAGTACATCAATTTGAAGAATTTGGAGTGATTGGAGCAAAAGGAACTACAATGGACCAAAATGGAGCAAACCAGAGCAAATCGGGTCAAACCGGGGCACACCGGAGCCATGGGGACCTAAACCAAAGACATAAGTGCCTGTGCCTGATGTTTAAGTGCCCAAAATGGTGCTTAACATGCCACCAGACAGACAGGGTGGTGCTTAAGAGCCCAAAAATGACGCTTAGGCGCCAGTGACGGTTTTCAACATATCTTCTAGAATATATGTCAGATTTGACAATTTTTGAAGCGGTTCTTCATGCATCTCTTAGGGAATTCATTGGAAATGAGAAAGGTGACTTTATAGAAGAATTTGGGGTAGTTATATGGAGTTTTGAAGAGACACTTCAGGCACCATTTGGAAGATTCATTGAATCTGGACAGTTTTGAAGAGACACTTAAGCATCTCTTATGAAATTATAAAAAAAAGGTTTGAAAATGTTTTTAAAACAACTCTTAGACTCTTGAATTAATTGAAAGAGGAGAAGAAGACTTGGAGAGGAAGAGAATAATGCTTGGGCGTGAGCCCCAAGCGGGGCGGCAAGGTGAGAGAGAATGAGAGAGAGTGAGATATTTCTTCTTTTCTTTTCACTTTGTTCCTGGAGAGGATTGTAAGGAGATTGCTTTTGCTATACAAGGAGAGTTTGATTTTTATCAAAGATAAGTATTTTTATTTTATTTTGATTTAAATTTAGTACTTTGTTTGTACGTTTTCAATGTTTTGTTCAATGAAAAGTTCTTGTTGTTTCTCCATGTGTAGTGAGTAGTTTTCCTTACTCTTCCTGAATTAGTATGCATGTGTAGGATATAGAATTGAGTAGAGTGAGAATATATTATGATGATTTTACTTTATTCTTCATTTACATGTAAACTTGATCAACTTGCATGTTAAAATCTATTGTGAGGACATGTAAGATCCGGGAAGGTTTTGCCTCAATCAATTGTGGTAGAATCACATGAGATTGTATGGATGAGAATGTAGTCCATATAGTTAAGTGAAAATAAATAGGAAAATAATATTTAAAGTGTGTAGAGAGGACTTTAGAGTGACAGACAAATGGCAGGTTAAAGCCCCCAACTTGATTTGTTATTTTAGGTTCTCATACGAGATGTTATCCCCTAGGGTGAGGGATAAGAGGGAACTCTATAGTGAGAGCTAGTATCTTACCTGCCTAGACCATCTTCAAAACTATTCAAACTTTAGATTAACCAATGTTCTTTATAACATCTCTAATTTGGGTGAAGAATATAATTGCTCCTATTTGTCACAATCTCTCTCACTACTTGTTTTACTTTTACACATGTCACTAATTTCATTGCATGAAGAAGGGTACTTTTAATATATTAAAAACCCCACTTTTTAATTTTCACTAAGTATTTTAGTTTAGAAGTAGAAGTATTATTATAGTGATAATTATAGGATAAATGAAAATAAAAAATTTATCAACCTTCCAAGCTAGGGCATGTTATTCTAGACTAGAACTTCTCTTGTCTCTTGCAGTGATTAACCTCAATCTTCGTGGGATCGATATTCGGGGCTTAATCAGAAA